GTAAGACAGGAGAAACCATGACCACCCTAGAGAAGCCAGCCTTCACCCACTAGCCCAGTGCTCTGCTAGGATGCTGGCCTCCAATCACTCCTCCCAGCTGAAAATAGGGCACCCATGCAGCTAGGACAAAGGGTCATCCTGGTCCCACCTTCAGAGTGGGACCCACAAGGGTCTCACCAGCTCAAAGAAGAGCACACATCCTGACCCACCTACAGGAGCTTCAGGAAAGGCTTCCTGGAAGAAAGAGCTGGTCTCCAACTGAGAGAGAGCATTACAAATGGAGCCAAGCTGCATAAACAACAAAAGTGGGACACATCAGTGACAATATCATCCACCACACAGAGGGAGTTAAATATCTCCCAATCCAAACCCAATTCTTTCCCAAAGATTTCCTATCTTCTGTCTTTTCCAAATTCCATCTCATCCTATCACCAGAGCACCCCTTATTACCAAAGGGCTCCTTATATTATAATAAAAGGAGATGGGACCATCTTAACACCTGGTACTCCAAGATCTACAATACCATAAAATTGGGAAAATTTAGACCCCCCACAGCATCAATCTTGCTTTCAAGAAGTTTCCCAATTTCACCAATCGTTCAAGCAATAAAACATCACTGCCACATAAAAAAATGGGAAAAAAGGATAACCAATCAGTTCTTTCAAATAACTAAGGAGCGATGAGATTCCTGAAAACAAATTTACATCACTGAACAGAGAATGGAAAAATAAAGTATAGGAAGCCCTTTTTGGGGGTTACATAAGAGGAGATTCAAGTTTTCCTGCTCCGGGCTCTGTTTTTGTTCTTTTGTATTGTTATTTTATAGATGATATGGTGCATAAAAGGATGGAGGATGGAATTTGGAAGAAAGGCCAGAAGATGGGGGAAGAATCTTTGGAAGAGTATATAGAGTGTTAGGCTTCTGCAACCTTGACTATTCATAATTTCAGGTTCCTAGAGAGTAAGTCTCGCGCCGTGTACTATTCTATAAACCTACCTGGCTGCTGGTTTGAAGTTTTATACTGAAGGATAGAAGTCTGAGATGGAAAGTGGTATCCGGAGTATGTCCATTCGAACTAGGGTCCCACTTTTGTTGTTTATGCAGCTTGGCTCATTTGTAATGCTTCTGCTCTGCAAGTTGGAGACCAGCTCTTTCTTCCAGGAAGCCTTTCTGAAGCGTCACTGTAGGATGGTGCGTTCTGGAGGTGGATGATATGTTAGACAGTATTACTTTCGTTTTGAGCTACTGCGACTTCAGGAAAGGCTTCCTGGAAGAAAGAGCTGGTCTCCAACTGAGAGAGAGCATTACAAATGGAGCCAAGCTGCATAAACAACAAAAGTGGGACACATCAGTGACAATATCATCCACCACACAGAGGGAGTTAAATATCTCCCAATCCAAACCCAATTCTTTCCCAAAGATTTCCTATCTTCTGTCTTTTCCAAATTCCATCTCATCCTATCACCAGAGCACCCCTTATTACCAAAGGGCTCCTTATATTTATAATAAAAGGAGATGGGACCATCTTAACACCTGGTACTCCAAGATTCTACAATACCATAAAATTGGGAAAATTTAGACCCCCCACAGCATCAATCTTGCTTTCAAGAAGTTTCCCAATTTCACCAATCGTTCAAGCAATAAAACATCACTGCCACATAAAAAAATGGGAAAAAAGGATAACCAATCAGTTCTTTCAAATAACTAAAGGAGCGATGAGATTCCTGAAAACAAATTTCACATCACTGAACAGAGAATGGAAAAAGGTGCAGATTCAAGTTTTCTGCCTCCAGTTTTGCATGAAAAAATGTTCATAAAAGGAAGGGGTATAAAGGTGTTAGGCTTCTGCAACCTTGACTTATTCATAATTCCCCAATAGTTTCCCTTCTCTAATCATGGCTGTTTGAAGTTTTATACTGAGAATGAATTCTGAGGAAATTTCCAGCCTCCACAGGAGTCTCTGGTTGATAAGCAATGTCTGCTATAACCACATAAGAGGCAATGGGATCAATGAAAATTTCTGAGCATTCATTACATACAGGTTGACAAATTTTGACACAGACCTCCTTTTAAAGCTTATAACCACCATGGTAAATTAGGTTACTGTTCACATTTTGTAAATGAGGAAACTAAGAAATCAAGGAGTTAACTAACCCAGAGCTGGTTAAGAATGGATTTGAACCTCACTACATCTAGTTACAGCACCAATAAATTAAGCATGGGTCAAAAGTAAAGACCAAAATTTGAAGAGTTAAAGAAAACAAAAGAAATAATATTCCATATTGTTAGTGTCTGGTATTTTAGTTTCAATATATTATTAGATTCCTAAATATTAAAAATCTTAGGACTCCAGTCATGCCCAGGGACAAAGAGTGCACTCTCTAGCGACCAGAGGGTGAGCACGCGTAGCAAGGCTGGTCAGCAGTGTGCTCACTTAAGGACCCACATACCATGTTCATCTGGCAAGAAAAACTACCAAGATGCCTCAAGCTGGCTTTTTAATCTATTTGAACAGCATAAAAGGTACATTTGAGGGAGGGAGGTAATGGCAGTTGTGGACGCAGGAGCTACTCACGGCAGGAGCATGTAAGCTATTTCCCTTCAATTTGACGCATCCAGTTCCCTGGTTACACCAGTTCTTTCAATTCCTTTCATGAACAGCTTTAGGAGGCTTCAGTATTCAGACTTTTTATAATCATGGCTCCCCTCCTGCATGAAAAGACTGCTATTCATCCCAGCAGGCAGCAGTACTGGTTCAAGGCAGGCATTAGTCATCTGGAATTTTTCAAATAAACACTCCTGCTAGGGGTAGGTCTCTAAAACAGACTCAATTATGTTACCCTCCTGCTCCAAGAACTGTTGAGGGTTCCCTAACAAAGCCCAACCCCCAGGGGAGCCTCCAGTCTGGCCCCAACTTCTGCCTCCAGCCTCACTCCCCATTGTAGGGCCTACTGATGTTCCCAAAACACATCCTGCACTTCTGTCCTCAGTAAATGTTTGGGAGGGAGAAAAAAGTTTTTGAGCAAGTCTCTTAGCTGCTCTGTGTCCCTCACATAGAAACTGCACTCTGCAACTGCTTTCAAGCCCTCACCAGGTATTCCATGAGGTCCCAGGGAAAGTGCTGCAGGTGGGTGAGAGGGCAAATGCCCCACTAGCCCTGAACTCTTTCCCCATAGTGTCGACTGCAAGCAGGCATACATGTGATGACGATGGAGGGTCTGTCAGAGCTAGGAATGCCTCACCCTCCTGATTCTGTCTGTGGAGGTAGGGCTGTAGCCAGCTCTGGACAGATGTCCAGTCCAAAGGATTCAGGCTCATGGAGGGGAGCCCTGGATCATTACAAAGTGGATTTTAATCCTTGGAGGTTTCTGAGTTAGAGTATGTGAGGTTAGTTTTTATAAGGAGTAAACAGTTTAATTCAAATTATTACTGAGGATCAACTCTAAATCAGGTGCTTTAGAGACACAAAGAAAAGGAAAATACTAAGACACTATCCCCTTACCAAAGAGTCTTGTGCAGCCGTTTCATTTTAAAACATAATTCTTTCCATTCAAGTTATGTAACAACTAATTTCCTCCTTTTTGGGTTTAGGTCTACATTTCCTTTATCTAATTTCAACAAGGAAATAAGCAATCAGTACCAGGACCAGAGCCCTGGGCTGATCTGAAAAGTTCACTATCCACCTCCTCCCACCCCTGGCTCCAAGGACTCACCAGACAGGCCATCTGGCCCAGAGTTCAACTCCAGCACACTCAAGGCTGCCCCTTCAACTACTTGGAGAGAGTAGACGCTATCCCATGAGAGCTAAATTCATCAAACCAACAAGAGAAGACACCTAGGTTAACTTAATCAGTGATGCTCTCACGTCTCAAGGAAGAAATCAACATGGGGGCAGGCTTGCATGGAACTGGTGCCCACTGCTGTCCTGGAGACTCATCTGTGGATCCTCCACAACTAAAGTCACTAGAGAAGTGCTGTGTGTGGGGAAGGACAGCATCTCACCATAGCCTGGAAGAAGTTATCAATCAAAACCACACCCTCCCCATTCTATAATTTCCCATTTTAATCAAGGAATTGTTTGATGACTAATTGGAGGCTCAGGTATTAATAATGTAATGACCTTTTCTTGACTTACAAGGTGTAAAGAACAGAAAACAGAATGACTGCTCTTGAGAACCAAGGACATTCCACAAATCCCTCAAGGATCACAGGAAACAAAGTGACCAGACTGGTGGGGAAAAAGGTTATTTATGTTTCCACATGCTCCATCTTTTGCTATTTCCACTAAGAGGAAAGAAGCCTTCTGAGATGTCCACAGGTTCTTCCTGGAACATCCATGCAACATTAAAACCAAAGTTCCCAGTATGGAAACTACTTCTAGGAAGGATGCACATAAAACAATATATTTACTGTAGGAAATGACATTTGTTCAAACCCATCACAAATTCAATGATGACAATGAAGAAAACTAACATTTACTGAAAATTTAGTGCCTGTCAGGCACTTTTCAAAGTACTTTAGGTATATTAATCCACTCAGTCCTAACAATAACCTAATGAAGTAAATATTACTCATGTTTCATAGAAAAGAAAAAGAAGCATGGAATGGTTAAATAATTTGCACAAGATCACACTGAAAGTGAGAGAAGCAAGGATTTTAAACTTGGCAAATGCTGAAACACTGAAACATGGAATGCTTCACTGAAGGCTTTTTAAGTGAAAAATCAATATTCAGCATGAGAATATTGCTTTGCTAGTATGTGAAGATTGGATTGGGGCAAAGAGTGCTGGCAGAGAGACTAGCGTAGAAGAAACCAGAGTGTGTGCTATGTTTGGGTTAAATCTTGTGGAAACTATTTTTATTTCACATGCACAGCCAACAAAGAGACTCTAGAGCCCCATGATTCCCTATTATGTTCCTAGGGCATTTCATGCTTCTACTCAAGGAAAGGTCCATGACAATTAGCATCATTTGCTAAACACTTACTCCATGACACAAACTTTAAACACGCATTCTCACACTGACCATAACAAGTTGAGGAAACTGCCCAGCTCATAAGTCCCCTGGCCAGGGAGGCAGAGAACCCAACAGTGACCTGCCAGGGACCAGGTCCACCTGGCTACACAGCCCCTACTCTTCCTCTGGATCCACACATACCACCCCCTCCCATACTTCCACTCCCACCCACTGCCGAACACAAGATTCTGCACACACCAACGTACAGATTACAAAGCTAGTACAGACTGCCTGCAGTCAGGAACTGAGGGCTGTGACCTCAGAGAGCATGACCTGGGAAGTGGCTCACTCAGCAACTACTAAAGGAAGCTATGAAACCTGGACAGAAGTGGCCAAAGGACCCAGGACCAATTCCACATCACTGGAGGGAAGACCTAGAAGAGAACTACTCACAGTTAACAGTTGAGGAAACAAATACTAACTGCATGCCTGTTATAAACTAGAACCAGTAAGTGCTGGCTGTGAATTAGGAGGTGACAGTGGCAGCTGTAGTGGATTTGTGTCCAGGGTAGGGATGAAGGTGAGGGATACATTTCGGATAGCAACAGAAAAATCTAATTTCTGGCCATAAGCCCCCAGAAGGTATTAATAAACATCTGCTGAGTGAATGTCTTAGAAAACAATACCTAGCACCTGTACACTCTGGCTGCCTACAAAGACATTTAAAAACTTATTTAACGTGCATTGGAAAACTGCTGGGCAAGCTCTCACTTCATACAGTTGAACTCAGCTCACAAACGCTAGAAAGAACTAATAATATTTAAGAGTTTAGAAATTTGAGCACATTACTGCAAATCACTTCCACAGCTCCAGAACTGTCTGGGGAACTACACCCCCTGAGGAAATGGCCAATGTCCAGCCTGTCTCCCCGGTTTTTCTGCCCATGCCCCAGGCCAACGCAGCCAGCAATTAAAGTGCACTCGACCCATAGCTCAGTTCTCCGTGGCCTCGGGCAAGTCACTTTACCTCTCCCAGCCTCGAGTTCCTATCTGTAAAACAGGGGAAACATTAGTAGCTAGCAGACAGGAGTGCAAATGAGGCATTATTATGTATATGAAAGCGCTTAGAAAACTTAAAATCTCTCAAAAAAGGAGGTGAGTTGTTAACAGAGGCGGCGTGGAAGTGACCGGACGCAAGGTTTGGGTTTGAATCTCAGTTCTAACAGTGTCTGGTCAAGTCACTTCCCCGCTAAACTTCAGTTGTCTTAACTCTTAAGACGGGTGGAGATGAGGCAGCGCAGAGATCATGGAGGAGCGGCGCCCAAATGCCGACCCAGACAGGCGAGGAGGCTGCGCCAACGAGACTCCCGGCCCACGAGGTCCTAAGGGGAAGCCCCTCCTCCCAACAAGCCGGGCACCAGTGCCCCGCCACAGCCCTACCCGGCTCCCCCGGCCCGCGGGAGGAACGGCGCCTCCAGCCAGTGGGCGGGCGGGCAGCTAGGCCCGCGGAGCCTGCGGCCCGGCCAATGAGGAGCGCGGCGGCAGGGGGCGGGCGCAGACGGCCCGCCGCGTCGCTCCCTCCTCCTCCCCAAGCCCTGCTAGGCCGCAGACCCTGAACCCCGAAGGAATAAAAGGCCGCTCACCGTCCTTTCGCCGCCGCCCCGCGCTTCCTGATGAGCTCGTCCAGGGAGATGTCCGCCATCTTGCGCCGCCGAGCGAGCCGAAAGCAGCTTAGACGCCCCCAGCCCGCGAGCCCGCCCCTTCGGCCTCCGCGGAACGACTAGCTGCTTCCGGCGTTCAGCCGACCAACTCTCGCGACAAGTCAAAAAAACCAGGCAAGGGCCGGAAGAGGCGGGGGCGCTCCCCGTGAGCCTTCGCGATGCCAACTTGTTATCTGCATACGGCGGGTCAGAGCACTATTGATCCTTTATTCTCCCTGAACAAAAAAATAAAAAGAAAAGCGACTAAATAAATTAACTACTGAGTAAAACAAACTTCAACGGATTTAGTTTGTCATCTGGACAGTCGGTTATGTTACTCACCGTATGGCTAATGAGATTAAGATTCATTACCATGGAAGTCAACGTTATGCTTCTTTATGCCTTAAACTTATGAGTAAGGAAAATAACGATTCGGGGTGACGCCCGAATCCTCACTGCTAATGTGAGACGAATTTTTGAGCGGGTAAAGGTCGCCCCTAAGGTGACCCGCCTACTTTGCGGGATGCCTGGGAGCTGCGATCTGCCCGTCCTTTTTCCATTTAAAAGAGCAGACTGGTTGCAAGGTGGGGCCTTGCCTTTCCGCCAGGTGTAGTACGAAAAACTGCGAGGGGGGAGGGGGGTGCTGTGTTTCTCTCCTGCTCCAGCTGATTTACCAACTTGTTGGATTTGGGGACGATGCTGGGGCTGAAGCGAAAGTGCCTTCCTCCCGCTGTAAGGTGGGAGGCATCGCGGAGAGTCGACCACACAAAATCGCGCGGGTGGCCCGCGGGACCGCGGTTCTTGTCCGGTTGGTTATCCTGGAGTTGCCCCACTTCAGCCAGTTCACAATAAAGGGGTTCCCCCGTCCTGTGTCTGTCTTTCCGGTCCGTAAAATGGGTGGGTCGTTGGGAGAGTTAAATGGACAAATTCATTTACGTGTTCAATACGTGGATTGGCTTTTTCACTGGCACAATCCCAGCCTCCCGCATTGAGGCAGGTGTTTGACACATAGTTGTCGAATCTGCTCAATAAAAAATACATTCAATGGCCTTAGGACAGGTGGAGTCTTGTGCTCTTGACAGCTCATCCCCACAATTAAAAATCTGGCCTCAGAGGCTCTGGGCAGAAACTGGGAGCTGGGATCCGCACCGGGCAGAAGGGGGGTGACTGGGTCCTGGCCCTTCCCTCTTCTAGGCCTCCTTTTATAACCTGTAAAGCTGGACCATTGGAGTCTGACGTTTTTCCTCTTGTTCAGAGGCCTAGCTGTGTCATGCCTACGAAGGATAAAATCTCACTAAATGGATTTTATTAACCCAATGTAATGTGGTTTACTTTCCAACCTGATTCCAGTATTGCAGCACAAGAAAGATAGAATACCCCTTATCTTAATGTCTTAATTCAAGTATTCTAGCAGAACACTCCCACCACCACCTTTTTTTTTTTTTTGCAGTCTCACTCTGTTGCTCAGGCTGGAGTGCTGTGGCAGCATCATAGCTCACTGCAACCTCAAACTCTTGGGCTCAAGCGATCCGATCCAAGTAGCTGGAACTGTAGGCATGTGCCACCACCGCTGGCTAATTTTTGTATTTTTTGTAGAGATAGGGCGTCAGGCTATGTTGCTGGGGTTGGTCTCAAACTCCTGGTTTCAAGTGATCCTCCTTCCTCAGCCTCACAGAATGCTGGGATTACAGATGTGAGTAGCCATGCCCGGCTCCCTACCTTAAGTCAAACATTTCTTTCTACTGACTCCAGGTCTTTAGACAAAGCTTAACTCTTTCAACCAATTGCCAACTAAAGAATCCCTAAAACCCACCCATGACCTGTAGCCTCCTGCTTCAAGATGCCTTTCCAGGGGAATCAACATATACCTTCCATGTTCTGATTTATGGTTTAACTGTAATTCCATGAATGTATGAAACCAAACTGTAATCTGGCCATCTCAAGCTCATTTTCTCAAGACCTCTTGAGAGGCCGGGCGCGGTGGCTCACACCTGTAATCCTAGCAATCTCGGAGGCTGAGGCAGGAGAATTGCTTGAGCTCAGGAGTTCGAAACCAGCCTGAGCAAGAGCAAGACCTCGTCTCTACCAAAAATAGAAAAAGTAGCTGAGCGTTGTGGTGCACACATGTAGCACCTGTAGCCCCAGCTACTTGGGAGGCTGAGGCAGGAGGATCGCCTAAGCCCAGGAGTTTGAGGTTGCTGTGAGCTAGACTAACGCCACTGCACTCTAACCCAGGCAACAGAGCAAGACTCTGTCTCAAAAATAAATAATATTGTGCATGTAGGTAGGTAAGTAGGTGATACTATCTGTGAACTCTCTTCAGGAGAGTAAAGGACCTATTATTGATACAATCATGATTTTTAAAAGGTGTCAGGCCTGAGAGGGTGGAGGACCACTGACCCAGTTCACTACCTGGGTTATGAATGGGGAAACAGAGCAAGAGAGAGCGTATAGGAGCCAGGCCCACGTCACCCCCTTCTCCCCAGGAGTCAGCCTCTTCTGGGCTCAGACGGCCTGTTTTCTTATCCTTAGGCAGGGACAGGAATGAGGGTGAGACCTAATGTGTATCAAGTGACTGGCGCACCGTGAAGGGCCATTGGGCCCGATTCCCAGCCCGAGGCCTTTTCTCACCCCAGTATGTGGTGAGGGTCAGAGACAGACGGAAGGTACAGGGACCAGGGGCTCTCCCAGCTCCCCCTCTCCTTGCATCAGGCATTCCTTCCCTTGAACTTGCCCCATCCTGTTTTTTTAAAGAATATTTTAATATGGAATGCGTCACGAATTTTCATGTCAGGGGCCATGCTAATCTTCTCTGCATCTTTCCAGTTTTAGTGTATGTGCTGCCGAAGCGAGCACATCCTCCTCCTCTTCCCCACTCCACTCCAGCACACTGGCCTTCACTATGCTCCTTGGAACATCCAGCAAGTCTCTGCCCCAGGGCCTTTGCACTTGCTGGACACTCCCTCTGGCGCACCAGTCTAGCCCTGCCTCCCTCCCCAGCCTCATCACCATCCCTTCCAGCCACCTGCCTTCTTTGAGCTATTTCCGGAAGTTTATTCCACAAGCTTGTTCCAACCACAGGGCCTTTGCACTTGCTGTCCTCGCCACCTTGAACTATCCCAGCAGTGCCAGCTCCATCTCTTCACGTCCCAGCACAAATGCCATCTCTTCAGACAGGGCTTTCCTGCTGCTCAATTTGAGGAATAGCCCTCACGCCATCGTCTCATCACCTGTCTTTAATTTACCATCTGGCAAATGACACTCTGTTACTTGTCTAGCGCCATTCCCACTGGAAGCCCAGCATCAAGAGCAGTGAGAGATGGGCCGTGCCTGAGGCATCCCCAGCTGAGTCCCCAGCACCTGGGACAGTGACACTTGCTTCACCTCAGGCCCCATCTCCAGCCTGAAAACCATTCGCTGCAGGAGCCTCAATCCGTCCAGCCGCGAATGGGGCTGACGACTCCTCCCGACCTCTCGGGGCTGCCCGGAGGAGCAAGGGGACAGAGTAACGCTGGAGGCAGACAGTTGTCCAAAGACGGGCCTGGGCGCACCTGCCCTGCTGAGCTGAATGAGGCTGGGGGAGAGAGGGGCCGTGGGAAAGCCGAACCCCCGGAGACCCTGCCCCCCGGCTGCCCTCTGCTTCCGGGAATCTGTCCTAAAAGAAGTCACCCAGAGCAGGGTGAGTGGCCACCGTTATTGACAAAACCCACACACTGGAAACAGCCTAACTGTCCGCTGAACAACAAAGCACAATGCCCCGGTCTGTGGCGTCTGGTGACCCGAGGGGACGCGCGGCTACGCGGGGCTCTGTGGATCCCGTTGGAGGGAGGCGCGCCGCCTCCGGCCGCCGGGCGCTTTCTCCTGTGGGTACTTTTTTGCACTTTCCAAGTTTTCTACAACAAACACAAACAGACGCCAGGAGTAAATGTCCCGCCCCCGCCCCGCCAGTCACAGAGCCTCCAGGGGCTGCAGAAGGCTTAGTATTAGCAAAGTTTTATTTCAATTTTTTTTTCTGCTCATAAATGACTCTGAAAAAGCCGACACGCAAGAGCTAACACGGCGGTCGTCTAAAGGCAACACCGAGGCCGCGGCCGTCTCGGACAAGAGGCACTGCTCGAGACCGCCCGCGGCCGGGCGGCAGCTTCGGCGCGGCAGAGAGCACAGTGGCGGCGGCCAGGCGGCGGGGGCCCGCGCTGCTCCGCGGGGTGTGCTGCGGGGAGACACCGAGGTTTCGGGAGGGCCCGCGCTGCTCCGCGGGGTGTGCTGCGGGGAGACACCGAGGTTTCGGGAGGGCCCGCGCTGCCGGGGCTCGGCCAGCACTCTCTTCCCACTCTGGCCGCGGGGAGAGCCAGGCTCCCAGCCGGCCAGGGCCTGCCTGGGCCCTGGGGTGGGGGCAGCCTTTCACCCCAAGCAGCCCACCCCAAGAAGACTTTTCGGTGCCGCCATCTCATGTAGTGTCAGGAGCGAAGGCCTGGCTGTGGCCCAGGGAAGGCAGTGAGGGGTGGCTGGCGAGGACGGTGGCGGGCAGACCCTGACGCCTGTAGCTCTAGACTGTGCCCGTGCGAGCTGACACCCAGCCTGTGGTCCGCCGCCCCGAGGGGTGACGGCAGCGTGGAGCTGGCAGCCCTCCTCTTGTAGTGTGGGTGCCGGGTTGGGGGACAGGGCTGGGCTGGGCACCTCTGGTAGGAACCAGCAAGTGCTGGACAGGAACCTACCCTGGAGGTTCAGCTGTGGCCCACGGGAAACAGAACCCTGCGCCCAAAGGGGCCCCTTGGGGCCAGCTCAGCGGGCCGTCACCAGGGCGCGGCCAGGCCAGGCTGAAGCCGGGCCCCAGCGCGAGATGGGGCAGAGGGGGGTGGCGACGGCGCGGGCGTGGACAGGGCGAGGTGCGTACGCGGGCCGGTGGGCGTGTGCAGCCCGCGCCGGCCCTCAGAAGGTGAAGCAGCGCTCCTTGGGGTGGCCCACGCGCTCCAGGTTGGGCAGGCAGGCGAACTGGATCATGGGCGGGGGCCCGCACATCAGCACGAGCGGCTCCTCCTCCGGAGGCGGAAGGTGGTCCCGGATCATCTCCTCGTTCACGAAGCCCTCGCTGTAGTCCCAGGCTGTGGGGCGAGAGACCACGTGAGCCTAAGTGCAGCCTGCAACTGACCGACCAACCAACCGAGGGTCCAGCTGCCCACATCCCCCTCCCCGCCAGCCTGCTAAGCCTGAGTCCCTCCTTTCTTTTTCAACAAACACTGAAGAATGAAGAGGTTGATCCCCTCAAACCCTCGCTCTGTACCCTCCACCCCAACCCTGACCATGCCTGTGGCTTCAGGCCTTGCAGCCTGAAACCAGGACACAAACCATTTGTGGTTCCCCTCCCCGCACTTTACAGTTTGCAAAGCCTTTTCCTTCCATTTGGCCTCTTGTGTCCCTCAGATCCACCCTGCGACCAGACAAGGTAGGAGTTATTGATCCCATTTTACAGATGTGGGAATTGAGGCCCGGGGGGAGGGGGGGCATGGGTAATATATGTAACCTTAACACTTGTACCCCTATAATACGCTAAAATTAAAAAAAAAAAATTAAAAAAAATTTTGAGCCCCAGAGGATCCAGAGTTGAGTTGTTTAAGGTCACACAACGAGACAGGGACAAAGCTGAAATGTGAACTACAGGCTTCTAGATGTCCCCAAACCAGTGCCCAGCCCCAGGCTGGTCAGGCTGACGTTCACGAACTGCTCTCCTGCCACTGGCCCACTGCCTGACTCCTCCCCTGGCCAAGAAGTCACCCCACAAGCAGCAGGTCTTGCCCACACCTGTGTTCCCAGTGCCTAGGTGCACAGTAGTTGCTCAATCATGAACTGAAGGGACGTGTCCCAAATGAGCAATCCCTGCTCCCGAAACAGCAAGGCCGGGACACAGGCTGCAGCTCCAGATCTGAGACTCTCCCGCGCAGCAGTTCCTGCGAGGGCACGCCTGCCCCCTCTGGCACGCATGCGCCCCCACACCGTGCCCCCCCCTCTGGCACGCATGCGCACCCACACTGAGCCCCCCCTCTGGCACGCATGCGCACCCACACTGAGCCCCCCCCTCTGGCACGCATGCGCACCCACAGTGTGCCCCAGCTGGAGCTTCTTTTCATTCCTTCGTGGGCCGACGATGCCAGCATGACAACCCCAGCACCCAAGGCTAGGACCAGCTCTGACCCAACATCGACCCTCAGGGATGGACCCGCCAGCAGGGCTTGCTGAGGGGGGAGACCCCCAGCCCAGGGAGCACAGTGGGTAACAGGGACCTGAACTCCGGCTGGCAGGCAGGTGACAGGAGAATGGGCACTCTGATGCTTGGGGGCCAGGAAGGAGAGGAAGAAAAGACAGATGCCCACCCTGGCTCCAGTTCTGGCTTCCAACTCACTGGGCAGCCAGTATTCCTCTGTGCCTCAGTTTCCATATCTGTAGGGGCATGAGGCCCAGGTGAGAGGTGTCTCTGCTTCTTGCAGATGTGCTGCTTAATAATGTGACTGCTCTCTTGGATGAAGAGCAGCAGGAAGCCTACTCTTAAGCTCACCAGGGGGGGAGATGGCCAAAGGTCCAGGAATCAAGGCAGACTCGCCTCGGTGGCCCCTCCTCACCCACCAAACCCAGTCCCCACTCTCAGCAGGTGACACTGCTTAACCCCAACCTGCCTCTCAGCAGCTGCCAGTCTGTCTGTGCTGCCAGCAAAGGCCGGGCAGCCTGGCCTGCGGTCCCATCGAGTGGGCTGCTGCGTCCCCAGGGGCTCCCCTGGAGCACTAACTGCTCCGAATTCTAAACAAGGAAATGCCCACCTTCTACCTCCACCCGCTCTGGCCGCCCCACTGACTTATAGAAGGACTGTCTGGCCTCCTGGCCCTACTTCCTCTCCTGAACCCTCTGGTCACACTGTCACCCACCCAGCCCCCATCAAGGTGACCCGTGTGATCCCTGCATTACTGGAGCGAGACACATGGCCTGCGTCTGCCGCTGCCCCTCCAAGTGCTCTTCCGGTCTTCCAGGAGGCCGCCCTCGCTGGCCACCTACCCACCTGTGGCGGACCCGCGCGGTGGGAGGCCATGGGGTGCGGGAAGCACCTTGAACTTTGTGCTGAGACGGACCTGGAGGGCACGGGAGGCCCTGGGAGTGTAACCTGCCCCGCCCTTCCCACCAGCATCACTCACCCCCGTGTGTGTCCCGTCCCCGCAGTGCAACTGCCTCGCC